GGCCTGAACTCTTCGCGACAAGAGAGTGAGAGAGGACCAGCCTTTCTCACTCGCACTTCCACTTGCAAAAGGTTGTTGTATGAGCGTCCCCCTGCCAAACGGCCGAATAAGAGAGAGAGAAGCGGACAAGTAATCAGTTTGGCAACTGCTTGATAATCGCCCGCCTACCCTATGCTGAACTAATTCCCATGACCGGGACAGCCCCCCTCTCCCCCCTTCTCACCCACCGCAGCGCCATGGAGCACCCTGGCAGAAAGACAAATGTGCCGGGGGCGTCGCGAGGGAAACAGGAGGGGGTGGGGAATAAGAGAGGGGGAATCACACGAGAGGAAACAGGGGGGTGGTGGCGGCCGTGGTGGTGGTTGGTGGTGGTCATCAGATTGCCCTGCTGGCCCTCCAGGTCAATACCACGCCACTAGAGCCCCACTATCCGGCGTACACGCCAAAAATCGAGAAAGTAGAAGAGGGAAAATCACGCTTGGGCACAGGCTGGGTAAACAGATCCCTCCCTAATGAGAGTCAATCACACACAGAATGGTGGTTGTTGACTTTGGCGGGCAGCATCATTGGTCCGAGGCAAACGCACGTTGTGAGAGTAAAAGAGTAACGGGGATCATCTAGCTTCCCCCCAGAGCTGTAGACAGAGGACTCCCCCCCACCCCCCCTTCCCCGGGCCATTGGGTTGGGCGGGACCACGCCCCCTCAGCTGTCACCTGACTACTCACTCACGCACCCACCTCGCGACGTCAAACGTCAGAAACACAGGCCCCGTTAGCCTGTAATTCATTATGAGCCTCGGGAGCCGATCAGCTGTTGTTGCGGTGAAAATGTGCCACCACCTAAGCCATCACTAGGTTTGGGTGAGTGTTCAAAAATTGTGTACTGCAGAAAACATGCACCGCTATGACTACTATTTCCGTTTCTGACTTATATAAAAATAAGGAAGATTGCCAAGCTATGACTAAAAATATAGTAGAACAATTGCCTTAATTTTAAAAAAATAATTTAAAAAATTCATATTGCGAGAGACTTGCATGCAATTTCAAAAATACAAAGCTGCATTGAAAACAAATTCTTCCTACAAATTTAAATTAAAACCTCACTAAGATTAATTAGTATGTAATATCAACGGATTGAAAATGTCAATAAAATATTGCAGTACTAGTACTTGCTTCGTCTGACTAAATAACCTATTCAAATATTCAGATTTTTTGGGATTCTTTTAAAATGTCAACCTTACTTCAATAATTAGTTTCACATTAAAGAGACAAAGTTTTCTTTAAAATAAAAGTTTCCCTCTACAAAAGACAAGGCTAAGTCTTTGACCATAGTTTAAGCAGGCAAGCAGTCCCAATGGGCACATGCCCAGTGCCAACTTGGCACAATGTCACAGGACACAGGGTTAGCTCATCAAATACATGGCACTCAAAAAGTGAGCCGGGCTGAAGGCTACTTAACTGCTTTTATCTATGAACCACTTAAAGGTGATAAATGATCATCATGCATATGTCATGATCAAATGTGACAGAGAGCCTCCTTCTCAACACATCAGCTTATCTATTATGATCGGTCATCCTGTTGCGAAATGATAAATGAAATTTCACACCAGCATATAGATGTCAAGACAACAAAGCAGAAGGGCGGGCTAAAAAACAAAATTTTAAAAAGTCAAGGATAAAAATGGCATGTTAAGTATATGTCCCATCATAAAATTCATATAATTTAAGTAAGTACAGAGAAATACCAAGAAGCTTGAAAATTACTTGCTAGTGAATAATTTAGAAGTAGATTAATTTCAATTTGGAAAAGTGGACAGTGAGAAGTCAGTCTACCAGTCACTTTGTACAGTACACACTATAGTAAAAAAGTTTCTCTTAATAAAACAGTGTAGACCCCCCCAAAAATGAGTGTGAGTCAAGGAGAAACTAATTCTCACTAAAATAGTATAAATGGATATTCCTCATTAAATTTTCAATTAGAAACAAGTATGAGCTGAGTAATAAACATAATGACAACAAAACACCACTGTCTACTACTTCAGGAAAGTTTATTGTGATATGCACCACATTTCAAACAAAATAATCCCAAGATTACTTTACTTCAAAAGATGTGTGTCTGTGCTACGAAGTTGTCAGGTCCAGCATTCACATTATATGCAATAGTTGACCACAAGGGTATCACAGATATTATATCATAAAATTTGAAATTTGCAATGCATGGTGTCTTTGGTAACTCTATGTGAATCCTAATTACATTTCTTTCTGTGCCTAAAAAACATAAGTGAAACCCAAGACGCACTCACAATCCTAAATGTGGGCGACATAACCTCACATAGTTAGAAGGTTTACAGGACAAAATTTGTTTCATTGCCAATAGATAGAAGAGATGAAAATTAAAATTGTAGTTCTTAAAATAAACTACCTGCTCTCGGTCTCAGAGAGGAAGAGAGAAGAATATTTTAGTGTTGACATGACCCATAACCTAGTGTAGCATCAATTATTTGTTTACAACTTCAACCTGTGCCCCCCTAACTTTGTATGAAGTTCTATCAATGAGAAAAATTCAGATAAGGGCTAACAGTGATTTTAGACGTCTACACAGATCAAAATAAACAAATACTGACAATTTTTTTTAAGGTCACAAACAGGCACTGCTCACTTACCTCAATATCCTCGTAGCTTTTGAAGGACAGGATAGCAAATCCATCCACAACATCCTCCTCGAAGGAGGGCTCCTTGGAGCGTTTTCTTCTGTTGGGTGGAGGTGGTCTCTGAGGCTTCTCCCTGCTTGGAGACTCATCCTCAGCACTATCTCCACCACCTTTTTCCTGGCTCTCCCTTTGAGCCTGCATGCGCTGCGCTCGCTCCCGTCGCCGATTCCGTTGGTTCCGCTGCTTCACTTCGCTCTCCATAGCGCTCACACACGCTTCCGCACACACACAGACACCTTCGGCGACATTTCGGCTACCGCATCACCGATAGGAGGCCACCAAATCACAATAATTGGGACGAAAATCGAGCCTAACTTCTGCACCTGGAGAAAAACACTTTGTTTCGAATGGCGGAGTCGGCGCAGCGTTGCCGCACTGCCTCAGTAAAATGGCTGCGCGCCGCGGCTGACGACGGCGTATCCCTGCCGGCCGTTCAGCTCACAGAAAACACTTTTCCCCGCACATTTTGGTCACTTTTCGATCGCACACGCACTCCCGAACACGCGCGGAAACTTCTCGCGACACGCACATCCACGTTAAATTCCGAAATCGCACATTAATCCGAGAAAGAAGAGGCGCTGGTCCGAGCGTTGAAGGCCTCACAGTCAGGGCTGGGGTGTAGTAAACTTGTCGGCACGGCCGCCAACATGCGGAACGCTCGCGACCCTACGGCTCGATTCGACCCCACAGGACCATACCGGACCAAGTTAGCGGACAGCACAGCACCAGGTCGTTCGTCAGATGGTCCGGGAAAACCAACTGCAAGACTGCTCGTCACATTTGTTGAAGGCGAAACGTTACTTTTGAAACAAAAACATAACATTTTGTTATAATGAACTTTGCATTGATACTGGCTGAGAACTTATGTTTCAGACCAAATAAACTATCATATCCTCTGTGACTTGGCTTCCTTTCTCTAAAGAATGATTCCTGTGCCGTTTTCTTAGTCATGCGGTATCATTTGAAACAAATACTTACACCGCAATATGGCACTCGTCAACGGGTTCTTTCACCAGAAACGTCATTTCACCGACACATGACCACGTCACGGTGACCATGCCCACGGTGGTGACGCCTTCCCTGCCCACCACCCTTCCCCGCCCTCTAGGCGACCGAGCGCTCCGCCCATTCAAACTTGGCGCGCGCTGGTGCCGCGCCCGCGACGTTGGCAGCGCGGCTCTGGTGAGTCTCCTCTCCACCAGGGGAGGGGGAAGGGGCGGGGGGCGGGCGGGCAGCATGCAGCATCGGCCGAGCCGAGCCGAGTCGGACGGGCGAGCGAGCGCGGCCGGGGCCGAGCGGAGCCGAGCCGGCGCGGGCCGCGCCCGAGCAATGCCGACCGACACGGGACCCGAACTCTGAGCTTGCTTCCCGTCAGCTGTATTTGAAAGCAGAAAGGAGCGGGGAGGAGGGGAGGGGTGAGGGGTGTCTCTCGATGGTCTCGATCGGATGGATGGATGGGATGAATGGATGGGTGGATGGACGGCCGATGCGCGGCCGCTGCGCACCGAGATTCGGTGTCGAGTGCACTCTGTGCCCATCTCATTACGTGCTCCACTGGGGTCCACCGCGCCAGCCAGCGCCAGCCCACGCGGGCACACTTCCACACTTGTGCAGTACTGTACCAGCCACGCGCCCCGCACTTCTATTTCAAGCAGACGACACGGAGGCGTCGCGTTAAACTTTTGATAGGGCTGTTAGGCCTGGCTGGGCGGCAGGCCGTGCCGTGCGCGGCGTGGGGCGGCGCGGGAAGTTTGATGCCTCTCTGTCGCGAAAACAGTCCGGCGCGGGGAGGCGGGGGGTTGGCGCGGGGAGGCGCTCGTGACGGCCGTCACATGTTTTATGACGAGCGTTCGCCTGCGTCCCCGTGTACGCCGCGCCGGCCGTGCGGACTGCGGGCGGAGGGAGGTCACGGCGGCAGGGGCAGCAGGTCCGCGTCGCCACCAGCTCGCAGGCGCGACGACGCATAGCAGGCTGTCGGAGTGGAGAGCAAGAGGCGCGCGGAAACCCTTCGAGAAATGCCTCTGCTGGATCTTGTCGCTCGGCCCCACGCCACGCCAGGCCAACGCCGGAGCAAGGACGAGCCGTCGTGCGAAGGCTGCTGCTGGTCCCAGGGGAGGTGAGGAGGGGGGGGGGGCAAGTAGCGAGCAGATCGGATCCGTGTCACCGGGGAGCAACGGGGCGCGGGCGGGGGCGCCGGGAACACCTCCTCCGCCCACAGCAGTGCCGCGCCTCGCTGCCGCCCCGCCCCGGCTGCACTCGCAGGCAGGCAGGCGCCACGCCTCGCAACATCCATTCCATCACGTCATCCCCCCCGTGCCATCGACCATCCGCATTGTCATTGAGGAGCCCGTAATCGACGGCCTCTGATTCCATCATCCGTCAACGAGGGAGGGGTTGAGGGCCAAAGGGGGAGGGGGCAGAGGAGGAGGCCGGGGGAGCAGGAGAACAAGTGGAGGGACAGGCGGCGGGGAGAGGGGGAGGGGGGATGAAGGAGGCGATGTTTGCTTAATAGCGAGCAGAAGACAGTGTCGATAGTGTGCCGCAAGCACCATTCATTTGCGCTAATCAGATTAGACGGGCGGCCGTCGCGAGGAGCTGGAGTGTGAATAGCTATGTCTCTCTCTCGCTCTCTCTCGCTCTCTTGCTCGTTTGCTCGCTCTCGCTCTCGGCGCTTGTTTCGCTTGCGGCTGCGGGCTCTGGAGTGAGTGAGGATAGTGATGTCTCTGTCGGTGGGTTTATTCGCAGACGGCGCGCTGCCGCCTTCAATCCCGGCGGGAGGCGCGCGCGGCGTTGTGTACACGGTCTCAGTGCGCCTCTCACTGTCTCTGTTTCCCTCTCCCCTCTGACTTCCTCTCTCTCTCCGTCTCTCTCTCTCTCCGCCCCTCCTCCCGCTCCTCTTATTTATTTATTCCCTCCAACGAGATCGCCTTACTCACTGCACGCGACGGCGCCGCCGCTACGCCCCGCCACGGGTTAGCCCAATAGAGAAGAAAAGTTACCGCGCAAGCTAATTTCAGGACCCGCGGCGGCGCTCGCACCGCTCGCAGAAAAAATAAATAAATCTCGCGCCGGCCGCCGGCAACTTTATTTACGCCTTTTCCAACAGCAACAGTGCTTTCGCTCCTTCCGATTGCGGGGGCGCCAGTGGATCATGTTAAGCCACCTTTAAGTGAAGCAAGGGTACATTTTACCGCGTGTTTTCCTGTTCTTCTTTCCCTTATGGTGATGATTGTACGGACTTTGCTTCTTGCTATTCTTTCCATTATCGATTTCGTTGTGTGTTTTTACTTTTTCTCCCCTCATTGTCCGTTTGTCTAGTGTTTCGCCGTGCGCGCCCAGGGGTGGTGGGGAGGGGGCGGATACCACTTCGCCAGACTCACCCGTTTCCTCTCCGTTTCCCCCGCCGCTCTATTTGCTTCACCACCGTCGCCGTTTCCCCCCTGAGGTCCGCCGTTTTCCTCCCCCTCTCTCGCTCCCCCTTCTCCTTGCCCCCGTTCTCCGGCTCGCTCGAGGCTCTCCCACTTCTCAACCCCGCCAGGATCCTGCTGTGACGCCAGATTTCGGCGGCAACATGCAAGTAGAGAGACTATAAGGAGAGAGGCGACAACTGCCGGGCGCGCCGCTGCGCTGTGATTGGCCAGCTCGCTTTGGTGCCCCAGCATGCACCCGCCGGGCGCTGACTGGCGGGGCGCCGCGCGGCTCGGGGCTCGGGTCGGCCGAAGCGGGCCCGAGCGGGCCCCGAGCCCTAGGCGCGCGGAGGGCCCCGCCAGTCAGCGCCCGGCGGGTGCATGCTGGGGCACCAAAGCGAGCTGGCCAATCACAGCGCAGCGGCGCGCCCGGCAGTTGTCGCCTCTCTCCTTATAGTCTCTCTACATGCAAGCAGAGAGAAGCGCACAAGGCTCGGCATTCAGCCCTCGTCGGGTGCTCTCAGCCGAGAAGGCATCCTCACACATTTCGCACTTGTGCGTGGGATTATATTCGCTCGCGACGTTTCACGTACAGCGTCTTTTTCTTTCTTGCGCTGCTGGCACTTGTCCCCCTCCTGTGCCCCCCTCTCTCTGCCGACCCCCGCCGCGCGCTGCCCGCGGGCCCGGGCCACGGCACTGAGCAATAAGTCGAGATAATAATTTCCCATCAGTCCAGAGACTAACGAAATTTTCTTCCTCGTTCGCCGACAGACAGGTCCGCTTCTTTTAGACTTTTCTCCTTGCCCCCGGGGGAGCGAAGGAGTAGTAGGCGCGAGCAAGCGAGCGGGCGGCGGGCGGGCGGGGGTGGTAGGCGGGGCGGGGGAGTCCTTTGCTGCTCTGTACTCTCATTTTTTCCGGCTTCCTCGGCGTGGACTCCGCGCTCCCCTCCTCCCCCCTCGCTTGTTCTCCTCTCGCTCTCCCGCTATCTCTCTCACTCACGCTCACTTTGCTCCTTCCTCTCTGTCAACCCCAGCTGCTGCTCCGGGGCCCAAAAGAAGGCAATAATTCCAAGGCCATTACGGCTTGTAAGTCATACTTATTGTGGCCGGAGCCGATAAGAAGACACGCGAGTGAGATTGTTTCTCTGATTAATGCTGAGCAGCAGGATGACGTAGACTGTCACCATAATCCTGACGTGTCACATTTAAATTTAAGTATAGTGGAAGGGAGTAAAGAACTACTCCCCCTGCCCGTTCTTCCTCTTCCAGCACTCACCAACAATGGGAAAAGTGAACAAAGTTAATTGATTCAACGGTCCTTTCAATGCTGCTCAGCCTCCTTTATGTAAGAAGCATACATCACCTTCGCTTAATTCATAAATTTTGAACAACAAACGTTGCCATCATGGCAAAACTGAAGAAAACCACAAAAAATCCCGAAAAGGGAATGTTTTTTGTTGTTGTGAATGCGAGCACCGCCAGGAACAGGGCATGTCGCCGACAAGCCTCTCCAGCTCCAGTCTCTCTCCCGGTGCAGCGGCGGGCGGGGCGGTCCGGCGGCGGGGTGCAGCTGAGGGACGAAGTGGCCCAAAGCCATCCCGACTGAAGGGGTGGCTGGCTGGGCCGGCCTGCTCCCCCATTGATCCGCCGCGGGGCGGGGAGGGGCGGCGCGGGGTGGAGCGGGCCGGGGGGAGCTGAGTGAAGCTGGGTGACCAGCCGGTCATGCGACAAATCTGCGGCGCTCAGCGTTCAGGGGGCGGAGGGAGCGCGGAGAGAGGGAGCGCGGAAGGAAAAGGTACGGGGGGATGGCGCCCCATCTACCCGTCCGTCGGGCGGGCTGCAGCTCACGTGCTTTCATTAGCCCTTTTCCCTCTCGTCTCGTGCCTCCCCCCTTTGCTGCGCCGGCGGCAGTGTCGTGGCCGGCCGGACCCCCCTCCCCCCCTCCCTCCACATCCCGCCTCCGGGCGTCCTTGCTCCAGGGCACGTGACCGACGTACCCGCTGTGCCTCATCGCCTCTCAGAGCAGGCAGCCCACACCACGGTCCGGCCCCGGCAGCAGAGGTGACGAGAACACGATATCAAGTTTTTCTGTTTTCCTTATTATCTTGTTTTATTTCGTCCCCCCTACCCCTACCTTGTCCGTACAACGTATTCTGTCTTGTCTCTCTTCTCCTGTGCTGTATATATGGCGCTCGACATCTCTCTCATCCGTCGGGGAGAAAAATGTAAGACGGAG